GAAAGGAGAGGCCCAGATGGTAACTATTTCAACATTAGGCCCATTGATGAATTCTTTTATGCCTGCCATTTCATTTCTTTTCAGCCCTGGTCAGAGGGGCAAAGGCAAGCTTCCACAGTTTCAGCAGTATCCTGGGCCTGTCATGATGGTTTGTGCAGCCCTCTCTGCCCCAGCCTGCCTGGGCTGCCCACTTGTTTACTCAACCCTGCAGCCATGCCGTACTGTGTCCACAGCCCTCACCAGCAGATCTCTGGGGTTGGGCTGTCCCAGAGAGAGAGATGTTAACTAGCACAGTGCCAGTCATGGCTGACTGTGTCTTGCCCTCACTCAGAGGACACAGGTGCCCACTCCATTCACTCCATTGCTAATGGCAGTTAGCCTGTGAACTCCAGGCTGCTTGGGGCTAATTAGTGCTCCTGAGGGTGTGGTTTTATTTTCTTAACTAAGGGGCAAGCTGAGTGACTAAGCCGTGCCCCGTGTCCTCTGCTCTGCCCCATTCAGAATGCAAGTGCCAACTTGATGGCAGTCCTAATGACATCCTCTTAAGACCTGGGTGCAGCGAAGTAGGCGGATGGGCAATGTGATGCTCAGGCTCAGAGGTTGCACTTGACAGCAGCTGCTGGTTTGTGGCAACTTTGCCACCTGCTACCGGTGGGTCTCAATTGCCTCATCTCTAAAATAACTGCTCTTCATACCTCTTAGGAATGTTACTAAGATGGAATGAAACAATGAAGATGTGAAAGTGCCTTAAAAAGATGAAACCTTTCTTAGGTCATTATAATAGATCCATCTAGCATCGGGTCAGTCCTCAGTGACTCTTGTCACTAGGGTGAACTGAAGAGTCCAGTGAGGGGTTGAGGTTTGGCCAGTGTCCCATAGCCCGGAGCTCTCTAACCTGCCAACTCCAGAGTCTCAGGAGGAAGTACAAAGGGGTCCAGCCTGCTGGGGACCTCAGGACCTTAGGCTATGCTTCCATCTAGGACATCACGGAGATCTCTGGAAACAGAGTGGGAATCACAGTTTTCTTGCAGAGTGGAAAAAAAATGAGGCTTAGTCGTCTTTAAGAAACAAGTAATCCATGGTATGTCCTGATTATTTAGAGCTTCTGCCCTCCATTTGCAAACATTTGGCCAGGGGTGTGGAGGGTGGAGGGAACAATAGAGAATAAAGGGAGGAGGAGGATGGGTGTCAGCCTGTGAGAATGTGTGTGTGTGTGTGTGTGTGTGTGTGTGTTTGTGTATGAGAGAGAGAGAGAGACCCGTTGACTTACTTGGTGTAGATTCAAGTCATCTCTCACGCACTGAGTGCCTGCCACATGTAAAGCCCTGCGCTACAAGGTGGTATATTATCATCATCCTTAATTTAAAGGTGAATAAACTGAGGCTTATAGAAGCTAAGCAGCTTGCTCAAGGCCACATAGCCAGTCAGTGTAGAATCAGAATTCAAATCCAGCCGCTTGGACTGCAGATCCCACTGTCAACTCTAAGTTACAGTACCTTGGCGATGATTTTTCATATTGACAAAGCTCTTTGAGAATTATACAGCAGCTCCAGTCCCAGACTCTGCCTTTAAATATTTACAACATAGTGAGGTGAGTATCAACACTGGGTATTATAGACCCAACAGTACATATTAAATGGAATCATGACAATGGAAGCACTTAGTAACTTGTAAGATGCTCTACAAATACAGGATATAATTATTGCCTGCAGTTTACAGATGAGGAAAATAAAATTAGAAAGGTTAAGTGGCCTGCCCAAGGACATAGAGGTAGCAAATGGCAGAGTGAGGATGCAAAGCTAGGTCTTCGAATTTCAGGCTTTGTTTCATTGATACCATCAAGGAAAGATTGGCTCTGAGTTTATGTGTTCCCCAGAAAAGGGTTGCAAAATGAGAATTAGGTAGAGAACATAAAGGTGACTAAGCTACCTTTTCTTAGTTGCCTTTTACTGCTTTGGTTTTTCTCTACCTTTTAAGTCTTAAATGAAACTGAGGGTGAAGGCAGGATTGGGGCCAGGGGTCTCTCAGGGTTGGGAATAGGGATGGCGGAAGGTGACCAGGAATCACTTATGTGTCACTATATCCTAGGTGGAGGGAGAGCCCTGGGGAAGGATGGCAGCAAGGATGATGGGCAGGACGAGCTGTTTTGCACATGGGTGGGCCAACACATATTTTGTGCCCCCATAAAACTGAGAACACAAATTACTTTTGAATTGTAAGTTAAACTGGAATCCAGTCTATATCCCACAAGGCTTGTGTGTACACATGCTGTATTTTTTAAATAAAGAAATCATGAATGTTTTATTTATGATTTTATTAAAGATCTTAGACTTGGTGCTGGAAAGATGAAAACATCCGCTAAACATCAGCTCTGTGGTGTAGATTCACACAATATGAAAAAATGCAAGCATTTCATCTTAGATCTGAAGCAGAGGGGCAAGTCCTTGGTTGCTAACAATATTTATTTGTTTACTTATTAATTTTTGAAGGGATGACAAATTAACATTCATTTTACACCTTCTCGATGCAGCAGCTATGTTGGGAGCTTTTGTATGTGTTTGCTCATGTATTCTTCACAAATACCTTGCATAAGTGACACTATTTTAGGAATTTTTAAGATGAGGAAATTGATCCTCTGAGAGAGTAATTAACTTGGTTCAAGTATCACAAATAGTAAGATATGAAGCAAGATATGAGTATATGTCTGACTCCAAATCCATGTACATATTTTCAAACTTGTTTTTAATTTCTTTAAACACATTATTAAGTCAATGTCTGAATATCCCATTATCTGAAGTCTCTGGCCAGTGAACTCCTTCCTTTCTTGCCAGTTCATCAGTGATTTTAGGAAAACTGTTTTTATACTTTATACAGAATTTTCAGTTGTCTTCAGGAGGGTCAGTCTAGGTACCTGGCCTGCAATATTGCTGGAAATAGAAGTTTAGCATATTTACTTAAAATCGACAAAATTACGAGGGGAAAAGTAATCAAATGGAGAGTTTCATTCAGGAACCTAGAATTGCACACACTGTACTAAATGTGTGTGTTTTTTAATATTTAATTTTAATTTTTTTGTGTGAAAATATACACAGCAAAGGATATATCATTTCAACAAATTCTACATGTACAATTCAGTTACATTCTTGCTATCCCTTTTCAGATTATTCCACTATCAATGCCCAGCTACCATTACTGAACGTTTTAAGATTCTATAAAACAATCCTGATCAAAAGTGGGGGAAAAGGGGAACAATTTCAAATCCTCAATGGAATCCATCGAGGCTGGCGAACACCTGAAACTAAACGTGTCTTATGAGCCCCTGAAGTGTGCATGAAGTGTCTTAATGAAAGTCCTCTCACAGTGAGGGTTGCCCAGCTAGAGTAGCAGCGTGATGGAGACTTGTCTGATTGGCACCACATCCACACAGGACGTGACACCAGAAGTAGCATGACCAAGCAAGATGAGTTTTGATTCAGTGAGACCTGAGATCTGCATTTCTAGTAAGTTCCCTGGTGTTGCTGTTCTGGTGACCACTTTGAGAACCACCAGTGCAGACTGGTAAAGAGCATTAGCTCTGGAGCTCTACTGCCTAGGCTCATATCCTGCCCCTGACACTCACCTCCTGTTAACATTTAAACTTTCTATGCCTCAGTTTACTTATCCACAAAATGGGGCTAATAATATGAGCTACCTCATAGGCTTTGGGAGGGCACTAAATGAGTTGATACTCATAAAGCACTTAAAGTAGTGCCTGGTTCATTTTAAGTGCTCAGGAAATGTTAGCTGCCACCATTGTTTATTTTTATTTTTATCAGTATTCATAGCTTTGCTAGTAAATGTCTGCACCTCCCTCAATGATTTTCTACTCTTTGTTCAAGACTGTAGTTTATTTTCTGAGGAGCTGTTTGCCAATTCTCTTCCACCCCGAGTCTTCCTTGCCCTCTCCTTTGTGCCCACACAGACCAGTGTTCACGCCCGATCATTGTATATGTCACATTGCACTTAGTTCTTTACCAGGAGGGTGTCTCCCTCACTTTGCACAACACAAGGTTTCATTCATTCTTGAGTCCCTTAGAGCCTAGTCAAGTGTCTGGTACATCAGAGGGGCTCAACAATGTTTCTAAAACAAATGACTGAATTGGCATGTGTTTTAGAATTTGTGTGGAAAATATGGTAAATGTGTCTAGTCTGGGAAAAGGGACTGAGAACCAGGAAAAAGTGAGGAGAAGAGGGTGTGTTTGTGGCATGAAAGTTTGGGAATGTTGTAGGGATAGTGGGAGTATGATTCGGAAATATGGTTCTATAGTTTTAGAAATATCTAAGTGCACATCACTTGGGATAATCTCTGCTGTAGGCAGCAAAAAACCTCAGTAGACCTAAATGATAAGGTTGCCTAGAGCCCAGATGATAAAGGTATTTACTATTTTATAACAAGAATTCTAGAGAAAGGGTGGTGGCAGGATTGTTTAATCTGGTGGTTCAGTGATGTCATCAAGGACCCAGGTTCTCTCCATCTTCTTGCTCTGCCCTCAAACTTCCCCTTCATAGTCACGTTGTAGCTTCAGAAATTCTAGTCAACACACTAGAAAATACAGCATCTACCAGAGGAAAAGACCCTTGAATCTCCTTTTTTAAGAATCAGAAAAGCATTTCCAGAAGCGTCTTCAGGAGGCCTCCCCCATGTCTCAATGACTAGAGGTGGTCACAAGCCTACCCCTAACCTATTCACTAGCAAGGGGCCTGGGTGAGACCTCTGAGCTGGGATAGACGCCTTAACAAAGTTGAAATTATGTTAGAAAGGAGGAAGGGAGAAGTGGATGTTCTTAGGCAAGCACCAGTGTCTGCTTTAAAGCCTGACCCAGTCCCCAGCTGGAAGTTTATTTAAAAAGTCACAGGATAGAAGCTAAGTGATTTCAAAGTTCATTTCCACCCTGAAAGTCTGTAAAGAATTACTTGAAGTCAGAGTGTGGAAACCTTTCCTCTGTCTGTTCCACCTGCAGGTGATGCTCTGACCACAGATGCCCTTCAGGAGGCTGGTGTGGAGACAAAATCAGGCCATCAAGCTGCTCATCAAGGGTGGGGTGGCACCAGCTGGCCACTCTTCCTCCATGAGCTCAGCCTGGCTCTCCACTGGGCACTCGGCACGGCCACGTCTCTTCCTACAGAAAGAGCTGCAGGAGGAACCCTGAGGGAGCCAGAACCTAGCAGTCTGGGATTCAGACAAAGCTCCTGGAGAGCTCAGTCAAGCTTCACTGCCCCTCCTACCCCCAGGTATGTAACTGGACATGTGGTTTACTTATGGTGAGAATCAGAGGTTCCTAGATGCAGGTTATACTGGGAGCAGCCACCTGAGAGAAGACTGGGCTAAATAAACAAATGTTCTGAAAGATGCTGAAGTAAGCAGCATCTCTGCTAGGGGTCTCTTTCTGCCAAAAACAAAAAACAAAAGAACAGTTGCCACTGAGTCTATTCCTACTACTGGTGACCCGTGTGTGTCAGACTAGAACTGTGCTCCATAGGGTTTTCAATTGCTGATATTTTGGAAGTGGATTGCCAGGCCTTTCTTCCAAGGTGCCTATGGGTGGGCTTGGACCTCCAACCTTTGGAGTAACCTTTGAGTTAGCCTTTCAGTTAGCAGCCCAGTACATTAACCGTTTGCACCACCCAGGGACTCCCCAACTTTCTGCAGCCCCCCTTAAGAACTCTGTTAATGAGTTTACCAAAGTAGGCTCCCAAACCACCTGGACTCATGTTTTCTGCTTATCAGATTCATGGAGAGCTCCAAATAGGCTCACTGTCCCTCTAGGGTCTGCCTGTCTGATAAGGAAAAGAGAACTGATAAGAAATTGATGGGAGAGGCTTCAACCAAGTATACAGATAATGATCATGGTAGGAGTGGGTATCTGCAGTGGGCAAGAAGCTTGGAGCCCATGCTAGCAGCAGTGGCAACAGCCACTAGAAATTGTCTGCTAGCATAACATCCTTAAGTTTTTCTAGTCTTCTAGACACACATATCAGGAGCAGCTAGAAACAAGCACAGTGGAAGGTTGAATCTGGATGGCGGTACGGTTAAGAGTGACTTCTATCGCATACATTGGGGGTAACACTTACTTGGTCTTTATGATATGTATCTTTCTATTTTATGTATCTGTTTTGAATTTTCAACCACGTTGCAAAATCTCTGAGGGGCAATGATAGAATATATTTCTCTTATATTCTTCACAAGATGAATGCGCAGTAATTTTTATTGGTTACGTTTTTACTGTATAAAGCATTGCCGTTGAGTCAACTCTGACTCATGGCGACCCCATGTGTGTCAGAATAGAACTGTGCTCCATAGGGTTTTCAAGTGCTGATTTTTTGGAAGTAGATCACCAGGCCTTTTTTTTCCAAGTTGAACTTCCAGCCTTTCACTTGGCAGCTGAGCATATTAACCATTGGCACAACCCAGGGACTCCTTTTGCTGCATACCTTGCAATAAAACCTGATCAGTCAAGGTCCTAGAATTTTCACTCACTCAGGCAGAGTTGTCAACAGTATCTGTTGAACACCTGCTAAGACGAAACAGTGTCAGATGCCTTTGCTACTTGAGCTGGCCTGAGGTTGCTAGGTGAGCTCAATCAAAGCGACAAGACTAGGGACATGCAAAGGGCTAGGAGTGAATGTTAACAGTGTCCCTTGATGCGAAACGGAAGAGTCAGGGACAAGAGTCAGCAGGGGCACATGTCCTCTGTTCTGTCGGCACTCTCTAGAGAAGTTTGCTAGAGCTGGGGCCCAACTGGACACACCATGAACCTGGGCTCCAGTGGAGGAACTCTAACCCCTATGTGCTTCCTTTATATAGAACAAGTAGGGGAGAAGTCTTGCCAGTGGGGAACAAACAGGTCATTGAGGTTCCAGGCAGCCTTAAAATTAGAGGAATGCTGTTAAATTCCATTTGCCAGCACCTGGAGACCTTGAAGCTCCCCAGATCCACAGGAAGCTGAATTTTGGGGTGGCCTCTCCCAGAGTGAGGAAGCCAGGAACCTCACTTTATCCTGTGGAAAGTTGCATCTCCTTCCTCTGGGAGAGGGGGAGCGCTGGGACCCAACTAGCTCATTGCCAGGCAATCCAGAGAGAGTTACAGGGATCTGATATTGAACAATCTACTTGTCTCCGAACATATTAAAACTTGGACCCTGTGCTGCCAACTTTTCTGCCCCCCACTTTAGTACCCCTTAGTGCAGAAGTTGCCAGCTGGAGGCCTGCAGGCCCTTTTCAGCCTATAGATGTGCACTGGTCACAGTGACTGGTGTTCACAATGTTTTTATACTTTGAAAAAGCAATAAACTCATGTGGCTCAAAAATCAAATCATTATAGAAAGATACGTGGTAAAAGTCAAAGCTCTTATCCTTGCCTCTGTCTGCCTGTCCAGGCACCTCCTTAGTCATCACTTTTGTTTCTTATGTATCATCTTATATCTAATCCTTCCAGAGTTTCTTTTTGCAAATACAAACCAGTAGAAATATATATTCTGCCTCCATCTCTTTCTTTCTTACATAATTTACATAAATTATAACATACTGTACACTCTGGTTTTGTACCTTACTTTTTTCACTTAGTCATTTATCTTGGAGGTCTTTCTATATCAGCATGTAGCGAGTGTTCTCATTCATTTTTACAGGATGTAGTATTCCAGTGTTTGAATGCCCCATACTTTATTCAACCTATCTTCTACTAATGGACTCTTGGGTTGTTTTTAGTCATTTGCTGTTTATTACAAGTAATGCTACAGTAAATAAGCCTGCCATTTTATATGTGTACCTGCACACACATGATATTTAAAAATTCCGAAGTATTTCTGGATTATTAAAAGGGCTAGTGTCTTAGTTATCTAGTGCTGCCATAACAAAAATACCATAAGTGGATGGCTTTTACAAAGAGAAATTTATTCTCTCACAGTCTAGGAGGCTAGAAGTCCAAATTCAGGGTGCCAGCTCCAGGGGAAGGCATTATCTCTCTCTTTTGGTTCTGGGGGAAGGTCCTTGTCATCAATTTCCCCTGGTCTAGGAGCTTCTCAGCACAGGGACCCCAGGTCCAAAGGACACGCTCTGCTCCTGGCACTTCTTGCTTGGTGGCGTGAAGTCCCTTTCCTCTTTGCTCGATTCTCTTTTTATGTCTCAACATACAACCTAATCCTGTAAATTGAGTCCTGTGTTGTTAACATAACTCCCTCAATCTTGCCTCATTAACATCATAGAGGTAGGATTTACAACACATAGGAAAATCACATCAGATCACAAAATGGTGGACAACCACACAGTAGTGGCAGTAATGGCCTAGGCAAGTTGACACACGTTTTGAGGGGACACAATTCAATCTATAACAGCTGGAAACACTGGACTCTAATAACTGCATGTTGACAATTGGTTGGATTTGAGCAGCAGTTCTTTTAAGTAGGACCAACCTGCTTCCATCTGACACGTTCCCCACCACCTCGCACTGTCTCTCGTCCATTTAGGCAGGTGTTGATTGCCATTTATCATCACAATTATGCTGTTTTCCTTACGGTAGGTTAAGGAGGAGGGGGAAATAGCTCTAGTACTCCTGTCTCTTCAAGGTAGAAACTGAAAGCCCAAGGAGGCTGCCTTTTTCAAGAACAGGGGGAGAGGGCAAATTTCTACATGGGTGTGATTCTGCTTCATTTGCACCTGACTACTTGGCTTATTGATGTTACTCGTCTGGGCATTGGAGTTTGCAGACCCTGCCTTGGTGCATCCATGCCTTTCCGTCATCTCAGAGTTATGGGAAAGGAGCTCTGCTCTCTAGTTGCTTTAACACTTTCTGGGTAGCTGCTCAGAGACCAACAATAAAAATGAACAAGACAGCAAAAAGCACTGTTCTATTACAAGTGTTATCTCACCAGAACCTCATGAGAAAGTAGTATTATTATCTCCATTTTATAGATGACGAAACAGTAACAGAGAAGTGTAAAGTAGCTTGACAGTAACTCACAAGTCCTACGTGGTGGAGTTTACATTTATATTTCGGTCCCCAGTGATTTTTCGGCTCTAGGGCCTGATGTTGTAGCCAATATATTATATTATGCTGCCTCCAAAGTCTTAAAAAAAGGTGTGGTTTATAGTTAACCTCTCATCTTCTAAGTTTGTTATTGTCTTAGTCATCTAGTACTGCTAAGGCAGAAATACCACAAGTGGATGGTTTTAACAAAGAGAAACTTATTTTCTCACAGTCTAGTAGGCTACAAGTCCAAATTCAGACACTGGCTCCAGGGGAAGTCCTTCTCTCTCTGTTGGCTCCAGAGGAAGGTCCCTGTCATCAGTCTTCCCTTGGTCTGGGAGCATCTCAGTGCAGGAACCTCTGGTTGAAAGGATGTGCTCTGTTCCCGGCATTGCTTTCTTGGTGGTATGAGGTCCCTCTCTCTCTCTGCTCGCCTCTCTCTTTCATATCTCAAAAGTTAGGACTGGCTTAAGACACTAATCTTGTAGACCTCATCAATATAACTGCTATTAATCCATCTTATTACATCATAGTAATAGAGTTTACAACACATAGGGAAATCACATCAGATGATAAAATTGTAGACAATCATATAATACTGGGAATCGTGACCTGGCCAAGTTGACAGATATTTTGGGGGGACACAATTCAATCCATGACAGTTATCAATGACAGCATGGGCATGATAGTCATGGCAAAGATAAGCAAGACATTTCTGAAAATAAATGAGATTATTACCTACTCCAAAGAGGGTATGTACCATATAATGAGAATGAGCTTTTGTTCTCCTAACAAAGGCAACTACTTTTCCTTTGTGGCCACTCGCATTTTATAGAGTGTCATTGGCTCCACTGCCCCTTGCTCTTTCAGACCCCAAACATTTATTGAGCAACTTCTGCTTGCCAGGCACTGTGATAGGTATGAGAGATAAGATGAATGATCCACAACCTAGTCCTTGGAGTCTAGTTAGGACAAGCCAACAGAGAGCTGGGTGCCACATGGTAAGTGTGGTATTGGGGTGACATGCTGCATCAGGCTGGGACCTCACTGATATAAGAAACGAATTCACTGTGGAGTGTCAGGGCAAGTGGATCCAGCTGTCTTGGATTTTCATCACCTTACATTGCCCTGTGAAGGAAGGAAGTGAGGCGCCCGGAAGTGGAGGCCTGTGAGCTAAAGTGTTGAGCCATCCTCTCCCCACAGCCCAGGGTGAACGTGACAGCAGTGGGTACAGCTCTGGAGGCTGTTGGCTCTTTGAAGACTGGCTCAA